AATACAGCTTCAATACAATTCTGAATCAACAATAAATCAGAAGTACGCTACAGGCATGATTCAGCCTCAACAATACAGGGATGTCGCCAGTATGTCAAGAAGAAAATGTGCCTATTCGCCAGTTTAATACCAATAACATTCTAGCAAATCGCAGTGAATGAATTCCTTTTTATCTGGTTACATTATATGGACTTTTAGCAAACTGTTACCGTGTTCCGCGTACCGCACTACCGGAGCCTCTAAAGCATGCTTTTAAGCGCTCACCTGTTGGGGTACGCCGAACTCGGTGACGGTTTGCTTAAAGCAGACAACTACTCTAATTACGTTACTGTAGTTTAGCTACTTTTCAAAGTAGTTTAGTAATTTCCAATTTCATTTTTATTTCGGTAATCAGTAATTTACTTTATTGCTGTTTCCGAGTAACTCTACTCAAATTACAAATTACTTTCTAATGTTTGTGGCAGGTTTGCTTATCAAAAAACATTCCTCCACAAAAAAAAATATAAACTCTTGTAAGATCAGCTGATATTTGGAAGGAGGCGGAAGCATGTGGCGGAGGCAGGGGGGGATGGTTGGGAGGGTCCGAAACTCCATAAAGGTTTCACGAGCCCCCACTGCAAGAACCCTGCTACAAGGCGAGGGGAGCGGAAAGACATGTCGCAAGTGAGGCCGAGTAACTGCGGTTTAACGCCGAAGACTGGCGTTTCTTTGTGTCAGGAAGCTGAAGGAGACTTGAGGCATTTGAAGAAGGGGCGTATCCCCGATTCTCTCCAACGTAGGAACTCTCTCCCACTACACGAAGTGTACACTCGCATCCTCACTCAGAGGAAGCAATAAAATGCGGCACCAAGTCTGAAGCTCACCTGTGCTACCGTAGTTTGCGCTGTACTTGAAAAGTCACGTGCATAAGGGCAGCGTAAAAGTAATCTCTTTGCGTTGCCTTTCCTTCCAAAACTCAGAATATTCCGGTCTTCCTAGATTCGGCGATCGGTCGAGAAATCACACCAATTCCCCCGCCGTTTTTACAAAAAAAAAAAGACAAGAAATAAACAAGTAGTGTTGTAAAGCAGTAAAAGTATATGGTACTTAAAGTACTAGTTCAACTAGGTTTAGAAAACTTGGACTTTACTTAAAGTACATACTCTAAGCATGTAGTTAGAGTTTACTAAAGTAGTTTTTCTGGTACTTTCCGAGGGCAGTTCAACTCCCGACTTAAAAGTACATTTCCCCGATTTCCAAACAAAAAATGGCGTATCATCATGCGAAAACGCGCTATCACCTTTCGGGATGTTGTCTAGTAATTTCGCTGAGTGAAGTAATGGTGGCTCTAATACCGATAGAAAGAAGTGCCTTATAAGTGGCTTTTGTTAAATAGTTTGTCAACCAGAGTAAAACTACTCTGTGGCGGCTTGACTTCATCCAATATTTGCCGCGATTTCCCGAAAAAAACTGATGCACCTCCGATTTCCCCTGGAACAATGCATATCAGTTTAAGAAAAAAACTGTATAGGGGATGAAAGGGCATCATGAAAAATATGATGTTCAAATATACATGTACTTTACGTTGAAAGTATATTTTATTGAAATTACTTTACTTCAAGTATATGGAACCAGGTGTACTTACTACTTTACTTGAAGTACGTAATTTCTCATTTACTTTGTACTTAACTTCAAGTGTTTGTTATATGCGGTGCTGGAATCAACTGGTGACACGTTAGTTTTTTAACTAACGTACTAACGTACTCGTTGGAATCTCAAATTACTAACATATAATGTAACGTCGTTATTATTTTTGCGGAATCGCCTCTCAAATTACATTACCCGTTACTCAATACTTTTGATTAAAAATGGCAGCAAGAGTTTTTGAAAACAAAGTAAGTTTTTATTCTGTGGACTTTATAAAAGGGGCAATAAACACCAACAAAGCTATGTATAAGAGGCGTCGTTTCAAACTCTTTCGGAAGACACTTCTAGCGTTCCCACGACCTGGCCCGAAAAGCGCGAGATCATCGCTTCGCGGTACCCCTAACAGTCCTTGGTGCAGTCTTTGTATAGAAGCCTGCTAAGATCACCGTCCAAGTACCCTGAGCAGTCGTCTCGCTGGAAAAAAGACATCCGCTCAGAAGGCAGCAGTCTGCCGCCGCTCCAAGGATTGTGCCTAAGCGTCCCTTGCTACTTCAACTGGTCACGTCCTTCTCTTCAAAGCAAATAAATTGTCGTTCTGTCAACAACAAAAATTATGAACTTTAAGTTTGGAAGCGTTGACATCCGCACGCTTTGAACCAAGACAAGTGTGTCAGCGGTGGCCGGGGGCTGATGTGTAGTTAATTGGAAATGCGACTTTGGTCTGTGGAGGAATAAAATAACGTTCATTTTACTTGACAATTGATTACACGAAGAGGTATATTTTGCGTCCGTTTCCTGGCTTGCATTCGGTCGTTTTTTTCAGAGCGGTTTCTTCTTCCCAGGCAGGTGCAGTGGGCAAGGTTCTGTTCCCGGAATCGCGCTCGCGAAACGTCACTTGTTCAAGGATATACAGTACACATCGTGGCGAAGCCAGACAAACAAGCTGGGCTAGATGAACGTGTTGAGGATATACATTACAGCTGTTCGAATCGTGCTCGCGAAGCGTCACGTGTTCGAGGATATATATTACATACCCTACCGACAGTGAATCTTTTATCAACCTGATCAATTTAATGCGAATTTATTTGTTAGTGTTTTTTGCGTTATTAAAATTGTTAAATCTTATATGCTTCTGTGTTCTTTTGAATTCTCTTGAGTTATATTGTTGGTTGCTGGCTTGCGTGTCTTGTGTGAGTTTCCAACGTATAAATCTGATCTGTAATCCACTCTATTGTAATGCTCCGGCGCTGCAGAATACAGATGAATAAATAGACAAATAATCACTCTGAACAAGGGCATTGTTGCCGAAGTTTAAAGAGGAGGTTTATTATACAGAGCTGTCATATACTAACAGTGACACACAAAGTAACGACAAGCGAACGTAAAAGTGACGTTCGTAAGTCATGTCAAGTAACGACACCGGTATTTCGTTACATCAGCACAATAGTAACGGAGCTCTGTCACGCGCAAGTGTTTCCCAAGCTAACGAGTAACAGTATTTTGTTAATTACTTTCGGTAACGGGCACAAGACTGTTCAGATGTATTCTACGAAATCATGTAAACAAGCAAACGCTATGTAACGGAGCTCTGTCACGCGCAAGTGTTTCCCAAGCTAACGAGTAACAGTGTTTTGTTAATTATTTTTGGTAACAGGCACAAGACTGTTCAGATGTATTCTAAGAAATCATGTAAACAAGCAAACGCTATGTGCAAAATCCAGCTCAGGTACCGTAAAACCTATAAGCGGAAATAATTCATCCGCATCACATCGTTGACCAAAAAACAAAAACAAAAAAGTGAAAAAACAATTAGGCACGCAGAAGTAGAACCAGCTATTACAGCATCTCTGTAAACACACACGCTGCTTTATATCTAGCTAGCAGAGTTTCGGTAACAGATCCAAACCTATGTACTTTTTTATCACCATAAAGAAATATATAAGTAACTTCAAAAGTAATTCGCTACATCTTTAGTGTGGTTAGTAATTTACTAAATCACTTTCCATTTGAGTAATTTCTACTCTACTGAAATTACTTTTGAGGCCAGTACTCGGTAACTTAACTTATTTACTTTTTTGAGTAACTTTTACAAGTCTGGTTTAAGTCCAAAGTGTCTCAATACGCGCAACAATTAGTTTCAGGCACAATCATATTCATGCTTATAGTCAGAATAGAAATATCACAATATTTTGGTCTCTACAATTGCAATTGAAATTAAACAAAATTCTATCCCGTGTACTTAAGACATTCACAATATCACCACAGGCGTACACTTTCGGATAAGTATCATTCTGACAGAAAACTATATAGAAAAAATAGCACCAGACTTCTGACGGAGTTACATCATAACTCTCTGCTTCCCTAATTTTAACTTCAGCATTAAATATTAAATGAATGCTTAATTTATGGTAATTAGTTGCATGGCCAACTCAATGCATATTATAATTTAGATCTCAAGGGAAATTTTGTTTTGTGTTGTCTGGTTAAAAATGACTAGCTTTTCTCTCGGTCAGTTTTGTTTTATTTCCGTCACTCTGTTAGGCAAATGTGTTTCTTTACATGTTTCTGGCTAAGACGAGGATTTCGGTAAAACTGTATAGGTATGTTTTTTTTTTTTGTTTTTTTTTTCGTTGTTTTTTACAAAACATGACCGAACGGAACTAAAATCAAAGTTTATTCATAGTATCGTTGCTTAAAGGACACACGCAAAGGAAAAAAACATAGTTTTTAAACTGCTTAGATGGAAAAAAAATATCATGAAACAATTTTACAACCAAGAAAAAAAAGTTTAGAACTATATTTACGGTGCTATACGAATTTGTAGTTGGCGCCGGCGTGCGCCGCGGAAAAGTGGCTTTTGACGGGCCCAAATTTGTCACATGGCGTGGTGCTTGCGCTCTTTCGGAAGCGTCCTATGGCCTCTAAAAGTAACTTATTCATCTTTGTTTGAAGTATAACAAAAAGCTAAGATGCATAAGTAACTTTTAGAGCCCAAAGGAAACTCCTGAAAAAGCGCAAGCAGACGTGATAGACCTGTGCGCAGGTCAGACGACGGCGGCGGCGCCCCGAAGCAGACGAACTCGTGCGGCGGCGGCGACGGCGGCATGGAGAAAAGCGTTGAAGCGGCGTTCGTAGCGTGCGGTGGCGACGCAGCGCGGCGGCGCGCGGGCCTACCACGTGACCAGCCGCGGCTCCCGCGAGCGCCAACTACAAATCCGTATAGCGCCGTAAATATAGATATAAATTTTTTTCTTCGTTGTAAAATCGTTTTATGACATCCTTTTTTCCATCTAAGCTGTCTAAAAAATAATGTCTTTTTTTCTTTGCATGTGTCCTTTAAGCACACACCTCACTACGCACGACAGGATTAACCCTCAGGTCGCACCGCAATCACAGTCACTATGGCCACTGAAGTGGTCACCTGCAACACTAATCACATCGTAGAGATCGTTCCTGTGGTGCTTCATGATTGGCGTCTGCTTTCTCACCGTCGACAGGTAATCCAAATCCACTTCGCTCATCAGGATTTCCTCCTCGGTTCCCGCCGACCGGACCACCTTTCCCATAGGATCAACCAACATGCTGTGTCCCCACGGGACGTATGGCGTACGTTCGCTTCTAGCCGGCGACGCCAGCGCCACGTACACTTGACCATCTACCGCCCTAGATCTCGAGTATAACTCGGCGTAGATGGGACCAATGTTCACGTTGAACGCGGAAGGGAACACCAGCAGCTTGCAACCGAGTTGCGAATAGATGTGCGCCAGGGGAGCGAAAAAGATGTCGTAGCACACGCCGACGCCGACTTTACAGAGCGGAGTGTCGAAGGTGGTCAGTCTGTTCCCTGGCGACACAAGGCTTGACTCACGTGAAGTTATCATTCCAGGAATGTCGGCGTCGAATAGATGCAGTTTCCTGTGCTTGGCGACCATACTGCCGTCGGGGCCATAGACAAGACAGGTGTTGTATCTTTGACCCTTACCGTCGATTTCGGTCATGGAACCGCCTATAAGGTACACGCCGTTCTCCCTCGCACGCTGGGACAGCATCTCGCTCGTCTCACCGGGAATGGTCTCAGCGGACGCCTTAAAACCTCGCCCGCCCAGGGGGTAACCGAAGCAAGCTGGAAGACATACCATGTGGGCTCCACTAGTCGCAGCCCTCTTGATTTTCAGACTCGTGACTCGGAGAGTTTCCGACTTGTTTAGTGTTGGAGCAAGTTGTAGAAGGGCCAGGCGAAATGTATTTGTTGCCATGATGCTTTCGAGTGAAGTCCGGGAGAGTGACTCTCTTTTCAAGCCTCGTGAATGCACTAACAACGAAAAGAACGCCGCATGAAGCATATCCCTCGGCAACACAGGTGTTCGTCGATAACACTTTTTTTAACATAAACGATATCAAAGACGTCTACAAATTTCTCTTATGCAAAACTGAAGCGCAGCACTTGAAGAGGAGGAGGGGAGAATACGGAAGAAAGGGTATGCCCCCCTCCTCCGACGATCTCTCCCCTCCTTCTTTTCTCCTCGCCACCTCCTCCCCTTCTCCCGTCCTCCACTATTCCTCCACTCCTCATCCTGCTCTCCTCCTCTTCCTTTTTCCCGCCTCTTCCTCCTTGCCTAACCAAACAGAAAAAAGAGCATAACCTGGATTATCGGACAGAAAAATCCAACTGGATTTAAGGTTTCCACCATGAAATCCAGTTAGATTTTCTGTTCCATAATCCAGTTCATACTGTGTGTTTTTTTTTTGTTTTTTTTCGGTAAGGGTGCCCCCTTCCTCCTGCCGCGGATCTTGCTCATGGGTGACGTGACACCAAGTCATGACGTCCTTTCCCCTCTAAATTTAGCGGGGAAACTGGATTGGGGTTGAGGTTGAGGAACATACCTGTGCCCAGAATACTTGGAAAACATCCCGGTACGAATACACGAAGGAAAGTAGATATGGGATCTAGTTTCCGAAAGAAGAAGTTACTTCGCGGACAGTTCGGCGGTGGCTGTTTTTAAGGTAAACGCAAGATAAAGTTGAAGTTGAAGACATTTTCCCGGGAAGCCTAAGTATTTCTCAATAATAAAAAAGCTCCAATTCATTTTTTTTTCGATTTTGATCAGACCGACTGGTAGGTACATTTTCTGGGTTTATCGGTATTTACCGAAAACACCGCACCTTACTTATAAGATGCGTTCTGGGCACCGCAGTTGCACACGGTGCCGTAAATACGACTGGCACACTACACTGAGTTCTCCTTTAATATTCTGCTGCAGCACCCAACCACAATGAGACCGGTAGAGATGTATACCTTATCGATACATTTCCCCTGGAGCCGAACGATTTTGCTTTCTCTGTATGGCAACCTTTGCATGCCCTCCGCAACAACTTTTTTGGTATAGTGCGTCACGGCCGCACAAGGAAAACTGCTTCCCGCTCATCAATGAGCCTGTTTGAAATAAATTTTATACTATGTTCATAGACAGTCACAAGCGCAGATGCTCACGGGATTCATTGTTCAACCGAACTTGGGACTACTGGACTGAGAAAGCGAGAGAAGTGTATATAGTTAACCTTCCTGGGCATGGATCCGAAAAACAAGCTTCGGTTACCTTATCTAGCACCCTTTGGACTTGTTTTGCATACCTACCCCGTAGATATGTCGCCAGCTGCCGATGCGCATATAGCTAGTGGAGCCAGGTGCAGCCTGCTTCGTGCTTGAACCGATATCCCGAAGCCGTCCGTCTACATTAGAGAGTTTGAGTAGATCGTTCCGATAGCCCTGATAACGATACTGGGTGATTTCAGATAAGATCGACCAAAGGATGGCTAGTCGACATTTTCAAATCAACTGATGTTTTTATATGTTATTGTCTAGTGTCTGGTATGAACGAATCCAAACTTAGTTTTGACTAGAAAAAATACTTGGGGACAGGAAAAATCGTAAGGCATGAGGTGGTGGACAGTTGCATTAACGCGCACTGATGGAGGGGGCCCGTTTGAGAGTGAATAACTAAAGCAATAACATTAGGAGAACTCTAATACGTTTTAGGCGCAAACTATGGGTATAGTTTGCTTGTAATATAAAGTAATCATATTTATTTAAAATTTTTTTATTTTTCTAAAAATTGACAAACATGCCTGCTCGAACGACAAATGGCAAACTTTGGAGGTCTGTATCTCATGAAATAATTTAATCATTATGATATAATTTGCAGATAATATTCTACTAATATATAGCTAATATTTAAAAAATAACTAAGGTATCTGTGTGATACAATAGTTAGGATATATTTAGTCAAACATGGAAAAAAATCAAACAAAGAAAAATTCCGATGCGAATAAAAAAAAAACACCACCCTCGATTTTTTTTTTAAATTTAGGTAACCTGTTATACTCTATTTCGGCATTCATTTCCATTAAAACATGTTGCATCATTTTATTGAGAAAGAAGATACAACTCCCCAAAGTAGGGTCCTTTTTCAAAGACTACACTTAGCAGTGTTTTATACAAGAACTGACTCTGAGTTCCAGTTTCATGAAACCAACAGACATCTTTTATATATTTTTATTCAGATGAGGCCAATGATAACTAAAGAAATCGTTCACACACTTAAATTAAGGAGAAACTACTGTGTACAAAGAGGTATCATATTACGGACTAGTGATCCTAGAAAAGATCACGCAGCCATCGGCCACCATGAACTTTGTTTACTTTATTCTCCTGCGACACTATATGCTATTCCCTCTTCCGCTCTACCTTGATCTCTTTCTCTCTCTCTCTCTCATATATACCCTTGATATATATCCAGAACAAAAACATGTTCAAGCATTCCCTTTCTGCGTGGTAGTGTTCTGTGGCTAGCAAAAATCATTTCCTCGCTAAGCTCACGATTATGGCAAAATAGTTGCCGGAAACCGCAGACGACACTCGTCGCTAGTTCTGGCAAAACGGCCCATACAATCTTTTTTTCGCATTTCCCCGCTCGCTGTCAAGGACAAGGGGGTTCGCTTCAACCAGCAAAACATGGCCGCCGACGCCTGTTTACTGAGCAGTCATGCCTGTCGCCATCTCACTCGCTGGCGTCACGGGCGATAATATCAGGCACAAAGGGGCACACCAACCGGCAGCATTATCCCCAAATACTGGAGCCTCGCGTAAATACATAGAGTGTAAACGCTGTCGCCATGTTATCGTAGTAGGACCGCCCCCCCCCCCCCCTCCCCCAACGGGGGACTGCAGTACGCGACGGCGTACTAACACAACGGCGACGATATCGACATCGCGGGCTCCGAATTTTCCCATAGTTCTACTCCACGGGCATTTCTCGAAACGCTTGATATTGTGTACGCCCGCCTGGAAGGATTTCAGGCGCGTAGTTAAGATAAGGCGGTTCTCCGCGGCAAAAGAAAGCAATTTCACAAAAGCTTAAAAGCGGCGGCGACGCGTGTGTGGTGAACGCTTGTAGTTTTGGTGTAGACAGGGTGTGTGTGTTCTCGTTGTTGACACCAGCCGGCGATAAGGCACTGCAGGCGGTAGCTCAGTACAGCAAGGGCTAATCCGAGTGACCATCAACGTAACCCCACCGCCAACCCCTCGCGAACCGGTCGCCGACATGGCTCAGGCTGTCTCATGAACCACGTGGTAGAAGCTCGGGTGCTTTCATATCAGCGCGTGGAGGGACGACAGTGCGATTCCGGAAAGTCTTTTTCGAAAACCGCTGACCACAATTTTTTGTCTGGAGACTTTCCCTCTTTCTTCCTTTGACGTGGATCAAGCTTTGCCGACAGCCTCAGTTGTGACCTCTCTTTTCAAATGTACGTTTGCAGTGAGTGAGCTCCTCAGCCTCGGACTTGTCACTTGTGCACCCAGTAGTTCTTTCACTTGGCAATTATATGCCATCAGTTGGGGTTTAATCTCTATTATTTATGTATACATTATGAAGACGTCCTGGAGCTCCGAACGAGTGTTTTGTGCAGATTACTTTTGCAAACACAAAAAGACTATACCAAAGCAGCGGAATTTTCGAAGTGTTGGCGAGTTGGACCTAAACTCGTTGAAGCAAATTCTTCCGCCTGACTGTTCCACCAAAGTGAGTGCGACGGACTACCTGTGCTACCATTGCTTCATGCACATCACTAAGGAGATCTCGATGCGAAGCTCAGAGCAGTGCCCTGACATATTTGTGCCAGCTGAAGAAGCAATTGAAGATCTAAATCGCAGAATACTACCTACAGATGTGTCGCCGCTGAGACAACCAAGCGTCGTAAGAAGTCGGGACAGGCCTGCCTATGTCAAGAGAAAGCAGACAGAACTGGAGCAGGTTGCTGTCAAGAATATACGCTCAAGGCTACGTATTGCGTACGACAGGGACGCACCATCGGGGTCGTCCGAACCAACATGCTCCACATGCACTGAGTGGGTGGACAACTTTCGGCAGGCCTTTGAAACCGCCACCTCTCTCCGGGAACGTTGTCAACTGCTTACACTCCTGCCGTCAACACTGACGAAGAATGAGGTTCAAAAGATGATTCCACAGGCCTCAATGTACCTCATCAGTAAATCCCGAAAACTCAAGGAAAAGCATGGCGTGTGGTATGAGCCGGATCCTTACACGAGGTGCAAGGTGAGCCCTGAGAACCTGTCTGCTGCCTAGAGTACTTCACGAAAGACGAGCTACAATGTTCGCGCCAAAGTCCCCACCAGAAGGACGTCATCTCTGTCATGCTCAACGGAGAGAAAACGTTCGTGCCAAAGCGCTTCATGACACGCTCAATACGAGAGGCCGTCCGTATATAGACCGTTTTATCGTGGGTAGCGCCATTTTGAGAGCGAGAGAGAAAAGGGGAAAGGGCTAGCGGCGCTTTCCCCCTTTCTGATTGTGTAGAAAGATTGAAAGTCCCGGATGAGAGGCTTGGCCGGTGTTGGGCGTCTGCAGTGCCCCAACTTCGTTCGCGCTTTCTTCTACGTTTCAAACTCCCAAACTTAATTAGAGCCATGGTCTTCGATGGCGACAGTCCCCCGGTCATCGGGACACCATTGCGCGGTCATAGGGTGCACGAATAACGACAGAAAGCGTCGAATACCGCCCAAGGACCTCGTAGCTTGCATGGAATTCGGCAAGGCACGTGCGGCTGCAATGTTTTGAAGCTCCACCGCTTTTCGCGTGACTGGATATGATGAACCATTCATACATTTTTGCTTGCAATAGGCCCATTTCAACGCAGCCGTTTTTAGTAATGAACAAGCGATACACGAAACGGGAACCTT